ATCTTTCCTCCATTGTAACTGATCGCATATAACCCTAACCCTACTGGTGTCTATATAAACCAAGAGGTTTTCGTCTTTAGGGCCAGAGCAACATCCATCACCCCGTCAACCTAGGGTTTAGTTTGCCTGGTCTCGTGGTAGATTGACTCTGTAACCATTCCATACACCTCAAATACAATCAAGCAGGACATAGGGTTTTACCTCTTCGAGAGGGCCCAAACATGGGTAAACACCGTGTTCATCGTCCGTTGTTCCCCGTTGATCCTAGATCCACAGCTTGGGACCCCCTACCCGAGATCCACTGGTTTTGACACCGACAACGACAAAGACATACCATGACTTTATAGAAGACAAAGATTAATTATAAAAAAATTACACACTGCCTAACACAAGACCCAAGGTAAGCTAGAAAGAACACTCTGATCCTACATATCTAGTCGACTATTAACAGAATGGTAGCACTGATTTCTTCCCTGTAATAGCCCAAAGTTTGAGCTCTTGAAAAATAAGAAACGCAAATTCCACTCATTGAAGATATCTCTCCTTCCAAAGACTCTTTCGTTCCATTGTTTCCATAAGCCCCAGCAGACAAGAGCAACCATAGTGCCAACACCTCTATGATAGATCTTCAAAAAAAGCTTCCTACTAGCTGCCAGCCAAGGTTCAAGCCGATCTGTCACCATAGGAATCTGAATAGTGATCTTTGCCCTTGCAAAACATAGCTGCCAGACCTGCCGGGAAACACAAATTGAAGGAGGATACGATCCACAGTGTCTTATCCTTGATCACAAAGGAAACAGACAAAGCTTTGGTCTTGCAAGCCGTGTCGCAATCTCCTATGAGACATCCAGAGGGGTATTGGAGAGCCAGCCAAAGGAAAATTTTGCAGGATAGGGGCGCCCAACAACGTCATATCACCATAGTGCAGAGGAAACAAATGGAGCCCTCATAGAGCATGTGATAAGTAGAGATCGTAGAGTACTGTCCAATATCACTCCATTTTCAAATTGCCATGTCTTCGCGGCTAGGAGAATGATGCATACCCAACAACCTCTCCTAGAGATTAATGAACTAGACTAGACCTTCTGTAGACTACTCACCCCAAAATTTTCAAAGTCCAGTTATGCATTATCAGCCCATCTTTGCCAGTCGTCTGTTGACCACTTGCGTTTTCACTTGCGCCAAGACCAGGGTAGCAAGTTCCCCAACACGGGCTCCTTTAATCCAACTATCTTTCCATAAAAGCACTTTGTCACCAAGACCCAACTGCCAGTGCACCAACCTATTGAATGCATGTTGAACTTGAGGGTCACTTGAGAAGTTTTAACCCTGCCAAGGTCTAGCATCATTTGTACACTTGAGCCACTCCCAACACAGTCGCAACATGATCCCTTACTTTTCTCAAGGCAATAACACCAAGGCCACCAAGATATTTTGGTTTACAGACCCTGTATGATCAATGCGGCTCTCATTATGATGAGTGACGATGCTTGATCAATGGGACTATAATTATCGTAGGCGACGTGATGCATCTATAATTACTTAAGGAAATACTTTGATTTGTACTTTGCTATGGCTAAGCAATCATATAAGTTCTTATTAAAGTATTATATATAGGTGGGTCACTGTACTTTGGTATCTAAAAATGGGGTTAACATTTCTGAAGTAGTTGAAAGTAAAATTGCTTGGTAGTCATGGAGCTCAGCGTGAACACTAGGAATCTGGTAGCATATGATCGTAACTTCTTATTTTGCAAGTGTTATGATAGCAACTTCATTGGCTTAAATGGGATCCCTTGAAAAGGGAGGCTGTTGTAGTTATAGGTGGTTTAAGAAAGGATGTGCTTTTATTCAGTTAGTTATGGTGACAGGGGCAATTGGAAGACTGCAGAAGGGGTTGGTTGGAAAGCATCTCACTCATCTGTTTCAGTATTAGCCGCTTCGATTTACTTCAGTTTAATTTCAGTTTTGGACGTTTTGACGGTAAAATTCATTCGAAGGTTAAGTTTAGAGACAACATTAAGTTCAGTTTTGGGCGTTTTGGTGCCCTATTTAAGGGCAACTGTTGGAGACGATGCTAGTTCGTGCCAAAAAAAGTTGTTTCCTGCCCAATTTGTTTTACTCCACCAACTTTTCGTGCCCAAAAATAGGAATGTCGTTGGAGATGCTCTAATGGTTTTTATTCGGGAATGTATCTTTTAATCTGAGTGAGAGAGAGAGAGAGAGAGAGATTGGGACAATATTAGTGCTCCCGCAAGAAATCTAGCCCTTGCAAAAAAAGCAAACTTTGATGTTTTTATCTTTTTGGCCTCACATTGTAAACATCTACAAAACCTTACCTCATCTGATTCTAATTATCCATGTGGTCACGAGAACAAAGGTTAATTTAAAAAAACTTTGATATCTACAATTTTCTTTACTTAAGGGCCTATCCCAACAATGATTATTTATAGTCTGAATTAATCCCAACACCTATGACATGTTTTTTTAGGGAAATCTATGACATGTAAGTACACATCGGTGCCCTTTTTCCTTTACATAGATTTGCGCCACAACATCTTCCCCTAACTATGCCCGCAACCCCCAATCCGCATGTTTAATGCGATTTAATACCCAAAGAAATTCATGCAATGTCCTACTCCTATAGTTCAAAATATTTTCAATTAATATATTACAAATAACGCTTTACATACAATATTTCAATAAAAATGTTAACCAAGCATTTGAAAAATATTAAATGTGTATAGCGAAAAAATTTCTCATGTATATGAAAAATGTATACAAAAAAATTCAATGTGTGTGCAAAAATTTGAGCATGTATTTAAAAAGAAGTTAATCCAAGAATATTTGGAAAAAAAGTTAAACAAGTATTTCAAAAATGTTAATCGAGTATTTGAAAAATGTTAAATATACATAAAAATGTGGATGGTGTATTCAAAAAACTTTAAACTTGTATTTGAAAAAATTTAATCAAGCATTTGAAAAATATTAAATGTGTAAGGAAAAAATGTTGATAATGTATTAATAAAATGTTAAACTGTATTTTAACAATGTTAATAAAGCATTTCAAAAATGTTAGAAAAAATGGAGACCATGTAAATTAATCAATGTTAAAATTATATTTGAGAAATGTTAATCAAGAATTTGAAAAATCTTAAATATGTATAACAAAAACGTTGACCATGTATTCAAAAAATGTTAATGTTGTATTTGTAAAATGTTAATCAAGCATTTGAAAAAATTTAAATGTGTGTATTAGAAAAATGTTAATATTTTGTTTGAAAAATATAAACATGTATTAGAAATATGTATTAGATATATATCAACAATGTGTGTAAAAACAGTGAAAATCAAGAGAAAACCGATGAAAAACGAGAATGGAATAAACAAAACCTAAGGAAAAAGAAAGAAAAAAACAGTGAGAACCAAAAAGGAAATAAAGAAAACCAAAGAGAAAAGAAAGAATTGAAAAACCAAATAGAGAAAAAACGAAGAAAACCGGTAAAAAAACAAAAACAAACAAACATGGATAACCATTGAAAACCCCGGCTCTTTTCTACCTCAACTTGTTCGTGCCCTACCAGTTAACATGAACCTGTCTATGACCTAGTGGTATGTAGCACGACCTAGCATCAAGGAGACCACTGTTCGATCCACGGTTGCAAAAATCTCACACCACAAATATTTTTTTGGACCATGTGCAAGATGCGAAAGAATTTCACAATCTGTGAGAGCAATGGCAAAAAAAATTGTTATTGCATGTGACCCAAAGGCAGTACTAAAGAAGGATGGATGGAGAAAATCACCTAATGGCTTTAAGCTGAACATAGATGCCGCCTTCGACTATGGCGCGCTACATGGAGCTATGGGAGCAGCCATACAAGACGACAGAGGTCATTTTATTGTTTCTGGGAACAAACTAATAGAGTCATGTTATGACCCTCTTTCTGCAGAGGCATTGGCTCTTAAATTTGGTTTACAACTCTCTTTCACGGCAGGGTGTAAAAGGCTAGTCGTTAATTCCGACGGCCTGGAACTAATGGAGATTATGAATAAGGACGGTCAGTATGCGGGCAATGCGGCAGCCATCATTGATGGTTGTTACCACTTGGCATGTGAGTTTAGTTCAATTCGGTTTGAATTTTGTCCTAGAGAAGCAAACGTTGTTGCTCATGAATTAGCTAGTGTAGCTAGATCTAAATTCTGAAGTGAGTGGATTGAAATTGCTCCTAATGAGCTTCTTCCTCCTTTACTTAAAGATGTAGGTGTTATCACCAATGAATAAAGAGGGAGTTTTAGTTGTCAAAAAAAGTAGGTATGGATTCCTTATTTCTAACGAACCGGAAAGAGAGAGGGAGAGGAGAAGAATCTCTACTACTTCAAAAAAAATAGTGTTTCTTTTCCTGTCAGGTGGAGTGCTTTGGCTAACCTTAAATTCTTTTACTAAGCATCATTCCTTAAAACTCACCTTAACTGTTTCACCGACTTACCGGATAAATTTATGTTTTCTTTGGTAAGCAGATAGCTGATTACAAAATCAAATCCTAAAATATAGACAGGCTAATCACAAACAGGATTAAGTAAACATTTATTTATACATTCACATTAATATGCACCGGTAAATCACGGGTTAAAATACTAGAATATTTGTATCCGTTGTTACGCACGAGCAATTACCTGAAAAAAGAATACATGTGAAGACACGAGGATGCCACCTTATGCATGAGGATCCAAAAGACGCCCTGGCAATTAACTAGAAATTGAACTAGATCGCCCACGCTTTCCAGAAATTTCTCCATTAGAAAGACATCACACATGCGTACGCAATCGATAATCCTGGCATAAGTATGGATGACAAATACTAGTTCATGCTGTAACCACGCTTTTTATTTTAGTTGCACTAGTACATACTCAAGTGACGAGAAAAATGCAACGAGTAACAAGGACAGCACAACACCAGCACGGAGCGCACATACGTACACCTGACAGCCAGCCTGTCGATTATTTGGGAGAAGGCATGAGAGACACGAGCTCCTTGGACTTGATCCACGCCTTGACGACCACCACGGCGTCGAACGGCCTGTCCCCGCCGCCGCCGGCGCGGTCCCGGGCGATAACCTTCAGGTAGTAAACCACCCCGGAGGCGACCTGCTTCTGCGCCGCCGCCACGGCGGTGAACACGAGCTGGACCCGGACGGGGTCGCCGTTGTTGGCTGGTCCGCCGCCGTGGCTGAGGCGGCGGTTGTGCTCGGCCACCGCGAACCGGCCCAGGGACTGCACCAGCTTGTTCTTGCCCACGTCCCTGATCTCCGTCCGGCCGCCCACAGCGCCTGCGGCTGCCGCCGGAGCCTGCGGGTGCCCTATTTCAGCAGCGGCGATGGTGAGCGTGGCGAGGAGGAGGAGACAGGGGATGGCGGCGGCGGTGGAGGTAGCCATTTTTGTAGTTCTGTGTGTTGGGGAGGGACAGTACGTTGAACACTTGGTACCCCGTTATATATAGATAAATCTTAAGACGCGTCCACATTTTAAGCCGTTAATTTCGTGTGTGATATAACGGTTAGTACCATTAAGTAGGTTATCAACGATTACAAATGGAAATGCTAAAGATCTGATGTTAATTTTTTTTAATTATGCACGACAAATCAAACGTTTTTCATGGCAATTTATATTGGCGTGAGGATGATAAATTTAGTTGGCGAGCACGGAAGAAAATTGCACTGAGTCGAATCTGTCATGCTCACCAACTAAACTTGTTTTCCTCGGCTAACATAATTTACCATGAAAAATTTGACATTAGCTGAATCTTCGGGTCCTTACAAATACATGCTATTGTTCTTCGAAGAAAGAACATGTTATTGCGAAGTATAGTTTCTACAACAAGGGCGTGAAAAAGTTGTTCATGTAAAATTATTGGGAAGATATTCATGTGATAAAGGAAATCGGAGACGCTTGTGTTCATCTAACTGATCTCTTCGTGGGTGTCGACCGCCTCCACCAGCATACGATCGTCTTTGATCGAACGACCCACAGCAGCCTACACCATAGCCTAGTTTGAAAACATGGCCGCAAATGAGGGCTATGGTTTTCTGAATGCATGTTGTTGCATTGGTTTTGCAACTAAAGCTATGTTTTGGAAGCATTTGTGCTATTGCAATGGTTTGTAACGGGGTGGAAATATAGTTCGGGATGTTTTGTAGCAAGAGTCATGTTGATGTGGGATGTGCGTACACTAACATTGTTACATAAAGTGACACTCACGTGGCAGTTGATTGAATGATTATTATTGGATCCATCCAACAGTCGGCCAGACGGTCAGTTCATATCATCATCCGGCCGACGCGTAGCACACGTCCATTTCTTCATGCAGCAAAAAAGGATGTTGAGTGGGGCGACATGGCTTTATTTGGAGGGGCTAAGAGCATATATATAGCCGCATATAGCTAATCCGGCCCCTCAAACGTCTGCAGACGCATCCGAGCGCGTTCACGGATAGTGACATGTCACACCTATATCCTCTTTCACAACCAGATACCTCATTGCCAAATCCTCAAATCCATACAGTTATATGCAACGTACAACCTAATCAAATATCCACCGGCGCTCGTTTGCCTCCATGTCCCGGTTGT